ATAAAGTATATATCCACCTATCTATTTATCTATCTATCTATCTATCTATCTATCCATCTATCTATCCATCTATTTATCTACCTATCTATCTATATATCTATCTATATCCATCTATCTATCCATCTATTTATCTATCTATCTACCTACCTATCTATCTATCTATCTATCTATCTATCTATCTATCTATCTATCTATCTATCTATCTATCTATCTATCTATCTATCCATCTATCTATCTATCTATCTATCTATCTATCTATCTACCTATCTATCTACCTATCCATCTATCTATCCATCTATTTATCTATCTATCTATCTATCTATCTATCTATCTATCTATCTATCTATCTATCTATCTATCCATCTATCTATCCATCTATCTATCTATCTATCTATCTATATATCTACCTATCTATCTACTGTATCTATCTATCTATCTATCTATCTATCTATCTATCTATCTATCTATCTATCTATCTATCTATCTATCTATCTATCTATCTATCTATCTATCTATCTATCTATCTATCTATCTATCTATCTATCTATCTATCCATCTATTTATCTATCTATCTATATATCTATCTATGCAAAATTATGTATATGTTAAGGATCAAAATCATATTAAAGTGTGATGAGAAGCGACCAAATAGAATAATGTAATATCTGTTCACTTGTCGAATAACATCACAATAACATTTAAATACTATTGTTGTGTCGACTAATGTCTGAAATGTACAGATGGTGCCTCTCAATTCATGTGTTATTCTGCTTTCTGAATTCATTACAAATGAAACAAAATAATACACACAAATATAGAGAAGTAGTAGCAGTAAGTATTAAAAGAAAGCTGAACATGTTTGATGGGATTAGAAGAAAATCAAATGGATTTACATTTCGTATTAATATATTAAATAATGAATTTTAAACTTTGGCAAGGATATCAATTATAGCTGCCTGACATTCTCTATATTAATCCCACTGAACAGTCTAAAGATTTGTGAAAATATTGATAATTCATCTTAAAATAAAGATGTCTGAATTTGCTGAACATTAGACTTAAGCCAATAATACATTTAAGCCTCTCAGTAGTTTGCTTTGGCTGGCCTGGATGTGCAGATATTCACAGCATACCAATTTAAGCAAATAAGCCAGGAAAATCAATCAATCCCAGAACAGAACTCGAATCAATGCACATAATAATGTGACCCGGGTTTCCTCAGACCTCAGGCCAGGACCCTCACCTGGCTGCAGGCCCGCTTCTGCCAGCTCTGCGTGATAAGATGTGTATGTATTAGGTTTTAATGAGAGCAGGTCCCATTCAGGGCAGCTTTGAATATCATTCTGTTAAAAATCCTGGCCTGTGTATACAAATGAACTTCATTCTAAAATGAGATCCACCATTTGAAAAACGAGGCTGCTACCCTTGACAAAATAATTGCTGGCGTTAAAGTGAAACGCTTTAATGAATAGACCTCATGGGAACTTCAGCGACAGCAATACAGAGGGAATAATCCACTTTTGAAACGTCTGGCAGCGAACATTTTGTTACTGCATTGTTTCCAAGATGGATAGAAATCACTTTAGTAAAAAGTGCTCTCACACAAACACAGTTAGCCTGAAGGAGAGACTTACAATACACATCCAGGCGATAGTGTCGGATCCTCTTCTGCCCGCTGAGCGCCGGGTGAGACGCCTCGCAGCTCAGCGCCGCCCCGTTGTCTTTCCTTTCCACGGGGATCCGGATGGTGCTGGACACGCTGAACGTCTTGGCGTTGTCCTGCTGGGATACCACACCTGGAGAGAGGAAGACAGGATGAGAAGATGGAGGGCGAGAAGACAGCTGGAGTGGCAGAGAAACAAGTTAGCAGCCAAAACATTTCTCCGTCCCCCCCGCTGATACATCACACCTATGGTGGAGACGCAGGGGGGAGGAAG